TTAATGGAGAAATAATCCTCCTCCTCCTCCTTCTTCTTCTTCTTCTTTTTCTTCTTTTTTTTTTCGAAGTGCATCGATTCGATTCATTGGTTGTTTAATGATAATTTCGTTTCTTTCGCTAGAAGCGATTGGTTTTCATGGTTGACCGCGTAGATATATATGTATATATATATATATATATATTTTTTTTCCATCTGCTTACGTGTCGAATCGATGATATCAGCTATGGTTTAATTCGCCATGTATCGTGTCGGCACCCTGCGGTGACGATTTGACACTCGGCGTTGAATTGGTTGATGACAGGTTGATTGTGGATTTTGTCTCTCCTTTCCTTGATCTAGATCATCTATTGATGGCTCGTCATTATTGATTGACGTTGTCGTTTCTCTTGGATTGATTGTTTTGTCGTTTCTCTTGGATTGATTGTTTTGTCGTTTGTTGTTGTTTCTTGATTGTTTCTCTGTAGTACAATGTATGGTTTGAGGCGATCCGTATTCGTTGCCCCAAGTTCAACGTTATCCTTTAGCCGTCGTACCGTGAATGTATTTGATGATAATTGCTGGATTAGACGGCATGGACCTTGATAATGTGGTTGTAATTTTCCACCCATTGAATTGTCTCCAATTTGTGCTGTTGGAGTGGCTACCCATACGAGATCACCTTCAGTATATTCTCTTTGTGTTGTATGTTGATCATATTTTTCTTTTTGTTTTATCTTTTCAATTTCTGCATGTTCTTGAATAACATTATATGCACATCGTAAATTGTTGATCAACTTTCTCTTGTATTCTTGAATTAATCCGTGATCAACTGTTGTTGATCTAGGTCCTTCTGTTGTTTCACCAACTAATAGATCAAGTGGACCTCTGAGATCTCGACCAAACATCATAAAAGCTGGGGTTTCACCTGTTGTTTCGTTCACCGCGGTACGTATTGCAAATGCTAATGTTTGAATTTCATCGTCCCATGAATTGTGTTGTTGTTGAGCATATATGGCAATTAACGGCTTTAATGTTCTATTGACACGTTCTGTCATGTTGCTTTGTGGGTGATAATTTGCAGTTAAATTTTGTTTAATACCTAATGTATCACAAAAATTTTTAAATAAATTTGAGACGAATTGCGGGCCATTATCAGATACAATGTGTTGTGGCAATCCATATCTTGAAAATACTTCGTTCATGAGAATATTGGCCATATCGGTAGATGTAGTTGACTTCAGTGGGAATAGTTCGATCCATCTGGTGAAGTAGTCTACCACGACGAGAAGAAATCGTTTTTGTCTGGCCGTTGTCGGTAAAGGACCCATAATGTCTATGCCGATCGTGTGCCATGGTTCATTCACTAAGTGCATTTGCATTGGGTTTGCTGTTGGAGCATTATTGTATTTAAATTGTTGACATTCTTGACATGCAGCTATATACTTAAATACATCTTTTCTCATTGATTTCCAGTATACTCTTGTTGATAATCTAAATAATGTTTTTTGTTGGCCCCCATGTCCAGCTGTTGGATGATTGTGCGCCCATTCCAATAATTTATTTTGCATTGCTCTTGGAATAATTAGCAGATGTTTTGCACCCACGATACGTTGATTGTAATGTTTATTGGCGTTTTTAATTTTGTACAATAATCCATTTATAAGAATGTGGGGATTACGTTTATCATTAAAATCTGTTGATGGTTTTGTTTTTAATAATTCTATTATTGGTTTTAATTTGGAGTCAGCTTCTTGTTCTTTTCTTACATCGTCAAGAATGTTTGTATTTTGCCATAAGTTAACAGCTGTTTCGATTGTTGACACTTCGAGTTGATTAATATCATCATTTGGTAATGGATTGCGTGATAACGAATCGGCGTTAGCGTTTAATTTTCCCGGACGATATTTGATTTCTTCAATTTGATAAGCAGATAATTTCATCGCCCACCGGGCCAATCGACCTGTTACATCTTTTGCCGTACGCATCCATTCTAATGCTTTACAATCTGATCTAATATAAATTTTATTACCTTCGAGGTATGGACGAAAATATTTTGTTGCCCATACAATGGCTAATGCTTCACGCTCTGTCGCTCCATATTTTCTTTCGGCAGTTGATAATGTTCGACTTGCGTAAGCTATTACATATTTTTCCCCATCATATTCTTGTGTTAATATGGCCCCTAGGCCATATTCACAAGCGTCGAGCTCCAATATGAACGACTGTTCGAAATTTGGTGTGTTCATAATTGGTGCATTTGTTAATCTTTGTTTTAATGTTTCAAAAGCGTCGGTGCATTCTTTTGACCATTTTAAATGATGATTGCCTTTTTGACAGTTTCGCAACTGTTGTAATAATGGTTCGGCTATTTTTGAGTAATCTTTGATGAATCGACGGTAATAACCGGTTAAACCAAGAAATGATTGAACATCTTTGATCTTTTTCGGTTGAGGAAAGTTTGTCACTGATTTAATTAAATCTGGATCTGGTTTAATGCCATTCTGAGTGATAATGTGTCCCAAGTAACGCATTTCTCGACGGCAGAATTGACATTTTGATGTTTTCAAAGTCAGATTTGCTGATTGAAGAGCTTGGAATACTTTTTCTAAATCTTTCACATGTTGTTCGAATGTTGGTGAGAAAATTACCACATCGTCGATGTAAACGAGACAGCATTGCCACTTGAGACCGGCTAACACTATGTCCATTAATCGTTGGAATGTTGCTGGAGCATTAGTTAATCCGAATGGCATAACATTAAATTCAAATAAACCTTTATGTGTTACAAAGGCGGTCTTCTTTCTTGAATCTTGATCCATTTCCACTTGCCAGTATCCGGAGCGTAAATCGAGTGTTGATACAAATTTCGCTTGTCGTAATGAATCTAATGTATCATCTATTCTTGGAAGTGGGTATGCATCACGAATTGTTACAGCATTTAATTTTCGATAATCAATACAGAAACGTAAGTTTCCATCTTTCTTTGGAACTAATATAACGGGTGATGCCCATGGACTTGTTGATGGTGAAATAATCCCTTGATCTAACATTTCTTTTATGTTCTGCTCGATTATTTGCTTTCTTGTTGGTGCATAACGAAATGGTGGTGAATTAAACGGCTGTGCCCCGGGAACTAAATTAATTTGATGTTGTGTTTTTTTTGTTCTTCCTGGTTGTTCGTTAAACACCTCCGGAAATTGCTGAATAAGTTGTTTTATTTGTTCTTTTTGTTGTTCGTCTAATTCAGTGTTGATTAAACTTACATCACTGTCTGTTTTTGACGTCGTTTGTTTTGTTGCTGATGATATTGTTCCATGTTGCATCATATTTAATTGAATTTGATTAAGACGAGTCATTGTCGCCAGCGGCTGATTTTTATAGATCATAATCGTTCTTTCCGTTAGATTAGCCACCTGCAGTGTCATGTGTTCACATGGTGTAATAATGCCGTTGGCTACACGTGGAGTTTCTTTCATTGATGATACTTCATATTCATTTCTGTCATCTTCTTCTATAATTGAGAATGGTTTATTTGGTTTAACTT